AATGGAATGGAATGGAATGGAATGGAATGGAATGGAATGGAATGGAACAGAATGGAACGGAACAGAACAGAACATAATAGAATAGAATTCTTTATTGGCCAAGTGCAATTGGACACACAAGGAATTTGTCTTGGTGCATATGCTCTCAGTGTACATAAAAGAAAAGATACATTCAGCAAGAATAAAGAATTATCAGGTACAACACTTAGTAATAGTCATAGGGTACAATAAGCAATCAAGTCATACTAGGAAACAGTCAATATAAATTGTAAGGACACAAGCGACAAAGTTACAGTCATATAGTCACAAGTGGGAAGGGATGGGTGATAAGGAATGACGAGAAGGTTAATAGTAATAGTAATGCAGACTTTGTAAATAGTTGGACAGTGTTGAGGGAATTATTTGTTTAGCAGAGTGATGGCGTTTGGGGAAAAACTGCTCTTGTGTGTAGTTGTTCTGGTGTGCAGTGCTCTACGGCGTCGTTTTGAGGGTTGGAGTTGAAACAGCTTATGTCCAGGATGTGGGGGAGGGGGGTCTGTAAATATTTTCACAGCCCTCTTTTTGACTCATGCAGTATGCAGGTCCTCAATTGAAGGCAGGTTGGTAGTAATTGTTTTTTCTGCAGTCCTAATTATTCATGACACACAAGACACACACAAGCCTTCAGACCTCTGCTGTTGCCTGTTATCCTGCCTTATTGATCTGATAGCCTCAGTCCTGCTCATTACTTAACTGCATTGCTGTAATGCCTTTCTTACCCAAATTCTGTTTCTATTAGCTACCTAGAATCAATCTCTGTCTCTTCAATGATATGCATCATCCCATTCTCTATGCTCTTTATGACAATAAGCTGCATGTTCAAGATCTTGTGGGGTCTCATCTTGCAGCGATGTTTACCCACTTTGGGGGGGTGGGGGTGGGGGGTCCTTATTTTCCATACAGGTCCCTCTGCCATGCATGAAAAGCAGTTGTGGTATAAGCACTGCCTTGCAGCATAAATCCCAGGGTTTGCCTAGTGGGATGAAAGTTTATTTTTAGCTGTGATTGTCTAGAATTATGGGCTGCACTGCAGCTTTTCACTCAGCAGCATTGGTGGGGAGAAAAACTGACGATGCAGTTGTAATTGAGTCTTCGTTAATGGGATTCTCTTTCAGCGATGTGAATGGCAGTCATTGCTTTCAAACCTCTGCTTCTTACCACCCTTATGTGCGTGGCTTGTGTAGCCACAAGTTTAACAGTAATTTCAACACTTTCCTCTCCAAAGAAAATGCAATTAAAGGTTGTGCAAAAAAGCAGCATTAATCAGAAAAATGTCGAACACTCTAAAATCAATTGATTCAGGCCCCAGTGCAAAGGATTTTCTATCATGTTTGTAATAGACTCCAAAAAATACACTATGTCATGGCTTTGTTAGAGTCGGACTCTGAGGGAGAGGGGAATAGCTGACAGGGAGTGGAGGTGTGGCTCCAGAGGTTGTGGAGGAGGCTGGGGAAGGGCAGAGGCCAGCTGGGCAGTCAGTGGAAGAACCAGGCCCATCCTCTTTGCATCCTAGTACATGCAGGGATGAACGGAGAAGGAAACAACTTGGCTTATGAGAGGAAGCGGCCATGATCCCCCACTATGGTTGCAGCTGGGGAGAATAATATATAAGAAAGATGGTTAAAATAGAGCATTGCTAGAAGCAAAGCATGTTTTCTTTTGGGCTGAAGTTATCTTGGTTGGTGTCCTTCCAACAGACTGTGCCTTGTTATCTCCCTGAAGTTGGTAATTACTTATCCTGGTTCGTTGTGGAAATTCCTTCATTGTAGTTTGTTTTGGTTTTTTATTTCACCTTTATCTGCTCATTATGTTCGGACTGTATTGCTTTCTTTTGAAGACTATTTTTGAATAAGTTTAATCTCCAACTGAGAATTATTGAACAGTGGGGCCAAGTTGGAGGCATTAAAGGACATTTATTTATGTTTTGGATTTTGTTAAATTTGTGTTACACTCCGGGTCATCACACACTATCTCCATTAGAAGAAACATAACCCCAACCATGTTATTAATAACTGCAGTGATTCACTTAGCAGCTATGGAAAGAAAGGTTGTAAAATGGGGCAAAACTCACCTAATAACTGTCTCACTTAGCAACAGAAATTTTGGGGTCAATTGTGTTCATAAATGAGGACCACATGTACCTGTAAAGATGCCTTCAGCATTGGCTAAAGCATGTCTCAGTATTCTAGGGCAAATTTGTCCATGAAAAGTTTAGCTTCATTGCTGATATTTCTATTCTAAGGAACCCAAGGTGATTGGGCTAATAAAATGGCAGCAATCCAATTCCAAATACTATGCCATGGGCCAGTGTGGCTAATCATATCCCAAGCGCTTTGAGACCAGAGATGCTATTCACCAGGTTCTGACCAGTTCTGGAGAAACGGTAGTGGAAAATTTGAGTAGTTCAGAGAACTTGCAAATACCACCTCTGACTGGCCCTGCCCCCAACTATTCTCTGCCTCCCGAGTCCCAGCTGATCGGCTGGATCTTCTTTTGTTGCCCTGCACAGGAGAACAGAGCTGGAAAGCAGGTTAGTGGGGTGAGGAGGGAATGGGATTTTGCAATAACCTTTTCCTGCTATACCCACCAAGCCATGCCCACAGAACTGGTAGTAAAAAAATTTGAATCCCACCACTGTTTGAGTCCCCTTTGTGAGATGTTCAAAATTTGATGGAATTGCTTCCTGCCTATTTGAAAAGAATAAGTGCAATACCTGGGAGAAACAACCCCCAAACAAAACCAATTTTCTCCAAAACTCTCCCCTCACGTGATGTGATCCCACCATTTAACAAGCTCTGTCCCACCCAAAAATTGGTTTGTCCTGCCATTTGCCATGCCAATGGTAAGCAGAGTGGAGAACATTGTGAGAATATTTTAATATTTTAATCGTAGTCTGCACTACTATTACTGTTAATCTTCTCATCACTCCTTATCACCGCTCCCCTCTCATTTGTGATTGTAGGACTGTAACTTTGTCGCTTGTATCCTTATGGTTTATATTGACTGTTCCCTAGTATGATTTGATTGCTGATTGTACCCTATGACTATCATTAAGTGTTGTACGTTATGATTCTTGATTCTTAACGAATGTACCTTTTCTTTTATGTACACTGAGAGCATTTGCACCAAGTCAAATTCCTTGTGTGTCCAATCACAGTTGGCCAATAAAGAATTCTATTCTATTCTATTCTATTCTATTCTATTCTATTCTATTCTATTCATATTTTAATTATTATTCATTTTACATTTCCTGTACTTATTTTTAAATCCTCTGGCCCAGCTCAAGAGAAAGAAATCTTGATGGCCAAGGTATCTTCAGGACTTCTTTCCTGTTGTTTCCATAGCAATAAAAAGCAGATTTCACAAGAGGCAAATGCCACTTCCTTGTAAAATGTCAACCTTTTCCCTTCAAAAAAAAGGGGGTGGGGGAAGTGAGAAGTCACCTGGGGCATAATCATGAAAATGCATAAGTTCCTCCTTGCAAAGGATTTTTTGCCTCCTGAAGCAAGCAACCAACTCATCCTAGCAGAAG